CCGCCCCCCCCCCCCCCCAGTTCTATTTCCCCGGACACGAAATAGGGACTTTGGAATGCTTTGCAGACATTTTGAAACCCTAAACTGCTACAAAAGACTCCTATGAAATCCGAAGAAACCCTAAACCCTAAAACCCTAAAGCCCCAAACCAAAGAAACCCTAAACCTTACAGAAACACCTTGTTGCGAGACCCTAAACCCTAAACCCAAAACCCCTAAAGGACCACGCCTTCTACCTGGACTGCACCCCCCATACTCCGGCGACCCGATGCGTCGATGGGAAAATTCCGATCACCGCCAAGACGCTGTTCCACGGGCAGGTGGGTTTAGGGTTTAGGGTTCAGGGTTTAGGGTGCAAAGAAAGCTTGGGATTCACGGTGTTGTGGAGTTCAGTGTACTTTAAGGTTGTGGAGGTTGGGCTTCCAGGGATCTAGTTTTAGGGTTTAGGGTTTGGGGTGGGTTTAAGGGCGTGTTCTTTGAGGCTTGGGGCTCCCTGTGCAGTCTGTCGCGTTCGCGCTAGGAGCATCACATCCCCTGCAACCCCCGATAAGAGTACCAGCGTGGTTTGGTTACTATCAGGATTTATAAGGGTGTTGCAAGGTTATTATAAGGGTACAAGGTTACTGTGAGGGTATTTTGAGGTTCCTACAAAGGTACTAGAAAGTCATCCAAAGCTTAAAATATAGAGACAGCGAGTCGGAGAAGTCCCAAATCCGAACCCTAACCGAACCCCGGAGTCGGATGAGAAGGGACTTTGTAGTATTTGTTTACCTCTATGTTAATATTTTATAGCAACCTCGTAGTAAGCTTCCAACAACCTCGTAGTCCCCTCTGGTAACCTTATAGTAGGCCTATACTGCCGATGTCGTAACCTTAAAGAGGCGGTGTATGCCAAGATGCTGATCGAAAGCTCCCGGGACCTCAATGCGATGAAGGAGGTCGGTTGGATCGATTCCCAGACGGAGCACATCGCCGTGAGCACGGTGATCTACACGGAGGATTGCTCGAACCGTAGGCCCTTAACCTTTCTGAAACCCCAAGCATTAAACCCTAAACCCTAAACCCTAAACCCCATGCATTGAACCCCACACCCTACACCTGCAGAGTTTCAGATTTGGGCCTTTAGGGGAACGGTTTAGGATGAGCAGCTTAGAGGCTTTGGGTTGCTTGTCAGGTCCTATTCACCTCTTCCTTCACACATTAATATGGTGGCTATTCGGTTTAGGGTTTAGGGTTTAGGGTGCGGTCATACTATAATTTAGGGTTCGGTCATACTATAACTTGCTCCAAGACCCTGTTCTAATCTTTACAGCCATTTCTATAGGCAGGATCCCAGTCTTCCGCAGGGTGTGAGTTGTCATCGCCGGAGTGGCCGTGATACTGGTTTAGGGTTAAGGGTTTAGGGTTTAGGGTTAAGGGTTAAGGGTTTAGGGTTTAGGGTTTAGGGCTGATGATAGTACCGATCTTCACCCAAGCCCTAAAGCCCACAGCCTAAGCAGCTGCATCACCCCAAACCCTAAACCAAAACCCTAAACCCTAAACCCTAAATCCTAAACGCTAAACCCTAAACCCTAAACCAAGACCCTAAATCCTAAACCCTAAACCCTAAACCTCACCGGTCGGAAATCGTACTTGTGGTCCTCTGGGTTCGTGTCATACTAGGACGCGACGTGCTAAACACTCAGAGCGATTGGTTGGGTCTAAGGACTCGAGCCCTAGTTGGGGTTTAGGGTTTAGGGTTTAGGTTTTGCGGCTCGAGGGCGTGAGTGCTAGCAAGTTCCTAAACCCGAAACCCTAAACCCCAAAACCGGTTCCATGATTCTCAGGGCGTTGGGAGTTGGTTTCAGGCTCCTGGACCCCAGCTAGCCTTGATTTTCAGGGTTCCCTATTGTGATTTCTTTACAAAAGGCCTTAAACAGGCAGATTACTTGGAGTTAAGGTAGGGTTTAGCTTTCAGGGGACGTTGGTGTGGAGTTTGTAAACTCTGCAGAAAGCTTTTGCAACACCCGACAGTCAAAGCGATCTTGTGAGATCTGAATATCCCTGTACCCTAAACTCGCCGCCCACTGTGCCGAAGATTCACCGAAGTCATTGTCGGAGAGCGGCCATAAAGGGGTACCTGAGATAGCCTCTAAACGTTTGGGGTTTGTTTAGGGTTAGGATTTAGGGTTTTTGGGGTCCAGGGCTTTTTGGGTTTTACTCATGGGCTTTGCGGCGTCCTGCACCTCTATATATGGTTTAGCATCAGCGTTTTTGAATTGGCAGCGGTTCTACAACATCAGGGCTTAGGTTTGAAGGTTTCAGTTGCACTATGTAGGGCTTGTATTTGGGCTCCTTCGGAATTTTTGTAAGTGTTGCGGTGAGCTCAAATGCCCTGCTTCAGACGATACGGTGGAGGACCGACAAGCCCTCAAATTCCACATCCTTACAGCCCACAATTCCATGGCACTGAGCCCTAAACCCTAAAGCCCACAACTTCATAGCCCTAAGCCCTAAACACTGAAGCCATCAAGCCTCAAAGTCTACCTAGGGCCCAAACCCCTCACTTTAGAACCTCATGGAGTCATTGTTTAAAAAGATGAGAAAAAACGTGAGAAAATCCTGTTGTATCCCCTAGAGTATCCTTGAAAGCAATCTTTCAAACTTGTGTAGTCTACTACAGCTACCTTTGCAAAAGTTAGCCCCCTTGAGGACCTTGAAATGTTCACCTCCCTGACCGTGTCCTTCGACTTCGACTATGCGGGGAACGTGGAGGGATCAGTGAGCATGGTCACCTACAAGGAGACCTCGTGTCTCCGATTTAGGGTTTAAGGGTTCGGGGTTAGGGTTTGGGGGTTGCGGGTCGCAGTCCAGAGTAGTGTAGTAGTGGTGGTGGTGGTGGTGGTGGTGGTGGTGGTGGTGGCGGTAGTGGTGGTGGTGGCAGGAAGGAGAAGCAGGAGGGTATCTCTCGGGAATGCTTCTGCGAGTACGGGTGTTGTCTCGTGGGCAGTACATAGTCTGCTGACATCCGGTTTCGCAGTTGCCTTCCTTGCCTTGACACCGAAATCGAGAAGCCGGCGCGAACAGGACGTGATCTTGACTTCAGCCCAGAACTTCGTGGCATGCCTGCTCACAACCTGCACCTTGCCGATGCTTCAACTGGGGTCTGTTTCGAAGCAAGAGCGCTCGAGGCACTGAACCCTAAACCCAAAACCCAAAACCCTAAACCCAAAACCCAAAACCCAAAACCCTAAACTTTAAACCCTAAAACCTAAACCCCTAAACCCCTAAACCCAAAACCCTAAACCCTAAACCCTAAACCCTAAACCCTCAAGTCCCGGCAGACCTGGAAGTCTTTGGGCGAAGCCCTGCAGGAAGGAACTAAGGTTTCTCAGTCTCAACCACGAAGTCCCCGGACAACCTAATATTGGGGCCTCAACAACTTCCTTTTTTGATTTAGGGTTTAGGGTTTAAGGTTTAGGGGTTTAGGGTTTAGGGTTTTTTCCTTCCTATAAACATACTATAAAGGACCCCAACACCCTGTTCCAATGATGAAGGCCCCTACATTAAGCATCCAGTCTTTAAACTTGTAAGGAGCCACGATGCTTGCTTCTGGGCCCGTGCCCAGAGAGCCCAATACCCCTTAAATAGGGAATATAGCTTAAATCTCAGTATGAAGCCCCTTAGAATATAAGCTTATTCCTTAGTTAAGCTGTATTGGGCTTTATGGGTATGTGCTCTTGGAGAGCAGCAGGACTCCTACAAATGGTCCGTCCTAGCAGCAGGGTCAGTAGCATGTGTCACACATGCAGCATGAGCAACAGTAGCCCTAAACCCTCAACTCTAAGCCCTAAACCCTGAAACCTAAACCCTCAACCCCACACCCTAAACCCTCAACCCTAAACTCCAAACCCTAAACCTGAAGCCCTAAACCCTAAACCCCAAACCCTAAGCCCTAAGCCCTAAGCCCCAAGCCCCAAGCCCGAAGCTAAAGCTCTTCTTGGCCCTGAAGCCCCGAAGCTTCGCGCCCCCGGCAAGCAGAGGCATCGGAGCCTTCTTCAGTGCCACTGCTTCGACGGTGCATCTCCTTCGCCACCGGGAGCAATGCAACTGGGGGCTGACCTGCTGCTTGATGCAGTAGAAGGGTTGAGGGCTTTGGGCTTAGGGTTTAGGGTTTAGGGCTAACGGCTTTGGGTTTAGGATTTAGGGTTTAGGGTTTAGGGTTTAGGGTCAGGTACCAAGTTTAGGGCATAGATAGCGAAGCCCTAGACCAAAGGCCCCACAAACCTAAATCCTGGACCCGAACCCTAGACCCGAAATCCTGGGTCCCACAAAACCTCAATCTATCTCAATCTTGAACCCGAGCCCCGAGATCTTAAAACCCTTCAATCAAAGAATATACCTTAAGCCAAAGTAAGATCACTAGTAGAATTCAAGGCATGTTCCTTAAATTAAGGCATGTTGGAAGATCGGGGCCCCAAAACTGTTGTAAACCCTAAACCCTAAACCCTAAACCCTAAACCCTAAACCCTAAACCCTGAACCCTTTTGGGGCTTCCGTTTGCATCCGGGCCCGGAGGGGCCGAAGAGCTGCACTGTTGAAGGATTTAGGTTAGGGTTTAGGGTTTAAGGTTTAGCGTTTGGGGTTTAGGGTTTATGATTTAAAGTTTAGGGTTTAGGGTTTAGGGTTTAGCGTTTGGGGTTTAGGGTTTATGATTTAAAGTTTAGGGTTTAGGGT